AATTTTCATCCCTCCCCCCCCTCTATAAATACGAAAAAAAATAACGTTAAACGAGGTTTTAATTTCAAGTCGCCTAAACACACTTATTTTGTAACCATTATACAAATGATAATCAAAAATGTTTTTTTTACGAAAAATTATATAAATCACTTTTCATTTCATGGAATTTTAAATGGTTATTCATGATGGTTCTAACTTTGGAATATTAAAGCATCATTATATGTTTCTTCAAGCTGTTCGATTGTCTTTAAATTATGAAAATGTACCATTCATTGAACAGGGTTTACTAATTTCCCATACAACTTCTAATTGGTTCTACTATTTATTTACATATCGTAGTATCTGTTATTAATCAATTTTATGGTACTCCTATAGTGAAGTGGTGGAGGAAATGAGTACAGTAAACCCTATTAAACAAACCCTTAACAATACTGCGTACTGTACCACAGAATGTTCGTTTTCGCAATGTACTATATTACGTAATCGGTCTTTTATTCCGAAATAAGTAGGTATGATACATCAAAAAACAATTTTAACTCTAATAGTACCGGTAAAGTAATACGTAATTTATCAATACTTACACAACTCAGTCTCTTCATTAATGATATTAAATGAAGATTTAAAAAATTTACAGAAACGGTCATTACTGCAATAAAAAACGAAAATTCAAGACTATTAGAAACAAGACTCTAACCCCTTACGCCAATAAATATGTTACGCAATGCGAATGAGTCACAAAACTCCTTGGATAAACAAATAAATGATAAATTATCGTCATGTGAATTGCATGAAGATAAAAAGATAATTGAAGAATTATGCGAATTACATGAAAAGGAAGTATTAAAAGGAAGTTATGATTTTGAATTTATTAATTCATTTGAAAAATATTTAGCAAGTAAACAATTAAAAACCGAAGATTTAATTAATTTGTGCTTAAATAATCAAACAAATTCTATACTTTTAACAATTCTCGCACGTTGCTATCGTTATGGGAAATGGGTTGAAAAGGATGAGCATAAATCGTTCATTTATTATAAAAAGTCCGCTGATATGGGAAATTCTTATGGAATGTGCGATCTTGGTGAATTATATGAATATGGAATTGGAGTTGAAGAAGATAAAAATAAAGCATTCATTTATTATCAAATGTCAGCTGAAATGGAGGATCCTTGCGGATTAGATAAACTTGCTTATTGTTATAAAGATGGAATAGGGGTTAAAAAGGATGAAAATAAAGCATTTTGTTATTATAACCAAGCAGCCAATGTGGGACATGCGAGGGGAATAGTGTATCTTGGTCATTGTTATCTATATGGAATTGGAGTTAAAAAAGACGAGCACAAAGGATTTATTTATTATCAAAAATCATCTGAAATGGGTAGTGCTATTGGAATATATAATGTTGGGTATTGTTTTCATAATGGAATTGGGGTTGAAAAAGATGAAAATCAAGCATTTATTCATTATCAAAAATCAGCAGATATGGGTAGTGCTAGTGGAACATATTGGGTTGGTTATTGTTATCATTATGGAATTGGAGTTGAAAAGGATGAAAGTAAGGCATTCATTTATTATCAAAAGTCAGCCGATATGTGTTATGCCAGTGGAGTTTCTCAAGTTGGTTATTGTTATAATAATGAAATTGGAGTCAAAAAAGATGAAAAGAAAGCATTCATTTATTATAAAAAGGCTGCAGATATGGGAAATTATGTTGCGACATATAATGTTGGTTATTGTTATGAAAATGGAAATGGAATCGAAAATGATGATAACAAAGCGTTCATTTATTATAAAAAAGCCGTAGATATGGGGTATATCAATGGAATGTATAAAGTTGGCTATTGTTATAAGAATGGAATTGGCGTTGAAAAGGATGAATATAAAGCATATGTTTATTATCAAAAATTAGCTGATAGCAAATGCCAATTAAAGTAAAGCAAACTTTAATCAGGTTATTAGATCTAAATTGTTTAAAACTCTAATTCACAATTTTTTTAGGTTTTTGATAATACTAATAAATTTAATTTATCTCAATTTTAGGAAGTGCGGTTATTATAGACTAAATCAATTAAATTGGATTAGCTGTTGCATTTAAAAAGGAATTATTTTAAAAGTTTCTCCGCACCCATTGGACCTCTAAAATTATTTATAGCATGTTTAAACTTTTTGGAAACAAATAATGTTTAGTTCTAGATCCCCATACCATCTACAGATTTGATAAATTTTTTTTTTATCACCCAATGAATATTATGTGAGCCATAAATATATCATTATAACCAATTTTTTTAATTTTATATAAATTTTGTCAATCATTATATAATCAATTTCAATGCTTAGAACCTCTTTTGAATACTACGATTTTGTAGAATTCAAAGTTTTCAAAATATAAAAATTGATTATTTGATTGTTAAATAAATTTTGACAGTAGCAAATTTTAAATGAAAATATCTTGACAATAGCAAAATCAAATTTGATAATAAGGAGGGTTTTGAATTCTACATATGTGTAGAATTCAAAACAATTTTAATAAATCAATATCAGACACATCATCGCCAAGACATATGTGTTTGAGTTTTTAGAAAAAAATTTACACTTTTTGCTAAATTTTTTACGACAATTAAAGTTGTTGTTACAGAAACGCTTTATGGTAATAATAAATGTAATTCAAATAATGATTCTCGGCCTATTCGGTTTGTGATTTCGTCATGCACTGTATAATAAACGCTATTTTGGTACCATAATTGTTTAACTAATCATTGTAACAATAATGTTATCATTATAAAATTTCGTTTGAGTATCTTACAATATGTTTGATTTATCGAAAGACAGCTCTTGTCAGCTAATAAATCTTAGCAAGAAACATGTATAAAACGATAGGATACAAATTAGACTCTTATAATAAATATATTAACCAATTTGTGCTAATGTTTAAAAAAAAAAATACTATACATATATGAGTGTCGCTAAAAGAAATCCGAAAATTTAAATATAAGTCATATTTAAATTTTCGGGTTTTCTTTTAGCGACACTCATATAAATATTATTTTCCT